AGCTTGATTAAATATTAGTATACTTTAATTTGTAAAGATAATATAAACTTCGAAGAAATTTTTGCTAAAAACTAAACTTATAGTTTCATAAATTTTAAACAATTTCTTTTTTTTTAAACAATATAATTTTAAAAAATTTACATCGAAATAAATTTATCTAGTATATATAGCGTGTAAATTTTGTTAGGGTATATAAATATTCCATATTACGAATCTGTGATTTTTGTTAATATATTGTGGATGCATTTAACTATTATTGACATATTTCCTTATAAATAATAGAAGATTCCTAAATTTATATCTATTGACATATTTTGCGTGACTAAATTGGAAGGTGTGGGGTAATTTATCAAAACCAAATTGTTAAGCGTATCTTAATTTGTTATTATAGATATGATTTTTCATAAGATATAATAATGATAAGATTATTAGAAAGTTAATGTAACATGACTTTCTAGTAATAGTCCATTTTAAAAAAAATCACACATGAAGTCAAGTCATGACTTCTGTTTTAATATATAAGATTTTTTTTTGGTTTGCGTGTGAACTCCCCCGTCATCCATTGATGGGGGTGCTCTGAAGATTCTAGCAGTTTTAGTTTTAAATTTAACATAAATAAGTATTAAGCTTGTTTATTTTCTTTTCTTTCTGTCTTTACAATTTTAAAATGAGTGTTTCTTTCATTTACTCATCCCATTTCATTTTGATGTATTTTTTTAATATTTTTATTTTCTGCTTAACTCTCTAAATTCATACAATATAACATAAAACTAATATACGTGTATAACTTAGTTTTAGATTACAAAATGTATAATTTAGGTACTAACTTACTAAATATCATAATATTTTTTAATGTAATGTCAAATATAAATTTTAAATATGAAATTTAAGGTTTTTCTTTTTTATAAGTATGTTATATTTCAAATATATATATATATATATATATATATTAAAAAGTTAGTTGTATTTAGATTTGTATGTATATTTTTGAATGAGTTGGGTATATTCCTATTTATTATAAATTAATTAATTTTGTAAGAAACTAATAATATAATAATAAATAGTAATTAAAATCTATACAGATTTAGACAATGTTTGGATTGCATTTTATTCATTTTCAGTATTCCTTAATATTCTTGATAACTTCTCTGGATCTATTGACAATTTTTAAAAAAATTCCATTTCAAACGTTGCTACGAAAGATCTTTCTCAAAAAAAAAAGTTGCTGCGAAAATACTATATATATCACTTTAATCTATTCAGTTTAAAGAAAGGAAAATGTGGTTCCCGCATGATAAAAGCTTGCTCTAACAACTGAATAAAATAATTGAAGAGAGAGAGTGAGATTCTCTCCGCATGCAGGTTTCTATTTTAGAATGTTTCTATTTCGGAATGTTCCAGAACGCATCAAAATAATGTATATATCTATTTATAGCCCATGTATAATAATTTGTACGCGTCATAGTCGTTGAAGTAGACACGGACTGGTGTATGTCTTCTTCGTAGAGTTATTTTCATCATAGGGCAGTTTCAAGTTTTTTATTACAAAATAGAGTAATTATTGCTCCTAAGGTAGTTTTTTATAACTACAAGCAACTAAAGAGTAATTAAATGAATCCTATAATTAATCTCATTTTTTTCTCGTTCTTTATCACATGAACAATTTTAAAAGTAACAAAATGAGAAAACTCATAGATCGTAATCTGAATAAGATGATGAAGAACAAAATGAACAATCTTGAAAAATCCCAAGAAAAAATCTGGAAAACAAAATGAAGAACACGATTGCGGTTCCTCTGTTTCTTCACCATGAATCAACACGACCAAGCTTCTTTCTCCACACTGTGCTCTTCAACTTATCCGCCTCACGTTGTGACAGTAATAGAAAAAAAAAGCAAAATTTACGTTTTTGTTGTAGAAACAGAGTAATTTTGAACTTAGAATAATGTCTTATATGATATTTTACAGGTTTAAAGGTATAATAAACCACAAATATGAAAAAAAAAACTGATGATTCATGTGAGAATAATGACTGGCGGCCATAGAGAGAAATTGAAGAAAACCCTAATTGATTTTGGGGAAGATGAAGTTAAAATTACAAAAATGCCACTCATTACAAATAATTGGATGATCACGTGGATGTGTACATTATGTTAGTGTACACATGTCCGTGTACACGAGTACATTGGATGACCACGAAGATGTGTACATAATTTTAATGTACACATGTACATGTTAAAGAAATAAATTTGTCTTTGTAGGTATAGACATGGAGCGTGGTTTATGTTAATTAAACAACATGATTATATAAGTACATGTGTACAAGATTACATGTGTACAAACCGAACATGTGTACCTCTTTGCATATACATATACATGATACATGTAGCAACTTAGAGTAGTATCAGTTTACCAATAAATATGTACATATACATGATTGAACCTGGTTGAACTTAGAGTATTAACAATGTGTACACATAATGTACTATCCACATGTACAGAAGTTCATATTTACACCTGTCAATTTCGTATATAAGAACAAATTGATAAAAAAAAACAAGTGACTCGTAAACCTCTGTCATTCTTTCCTCCATGAGCGTCTGAAATCACCATGGATCTCCTATTCAACCTAACTCAAGCTATTCACCACCGAATAACGATTCACCATTGTACACAAATGTTTTATTATACACATGTACAATGATTCGCATGTACACATATTAAATTGTACAATAATACATGAACGTNATGGATCTCCTATTCAACCTAACTCAAGCTATTCACCACCGAATAACGATTCACCATTGTACACAAATGTTTTATTATACACATGTACAATGATTCGCATGTACACATATTAAATTGTACAATAATACATGAACGTCATATAATTTCACTATCTTCATATATGTATACATGAAATATGTAGGTTTCCCAAGTTAGAGTAGTACTAGTTTACCAAGAAATATGTACATATACATGATTGAGTTTTGTTTAATAGGAGATCCATGTATATGTACACAGTATACACATATGAAGAGTGTACATTGTTTTAATAATAACGAGTGTACACATGTACACATATAAGTGTACACATTTTTTTTAATGAGTGGCAATTTCGTAATTAAATCATCTTCTTCCTATTAGGGTATCCTGCGTTTTTGCAACAAAATCTCACAGCCGCCATTGATTTTTTTCATGCAATCTTCATCTTTTTGCGTTTTTAGCTCAAGAACTTAATAATATTGTTCTAATAATACTATTAGATTTAAAAACCAAGCGAAAAAAAGTTTTTTTTCCTAATTTTCGAGTTTGACGGATTATAAACAAAACACCATAGCCCTTCTTCGCCAAACATCAACCTTTCAAGATAATAGCAGCTTAATCTCTTGATTTGAACAAATCTATGAAAAAGAAAACAGAAACGTGAAAGAAGAACACGACAATTATGACACAGCTTTAACACATATATTGGTAGAATTTAGATGGATAGAAAGAAGAACAAAATAAAATTATTGTTTTTGGTTTGGTGCGAGAACATAAATTCCGGAGAGAGTAGTGTTTTGTTTTTTTAGTAGGGCCACTTTAGTTAGATAAGTAACTTTAGTTTGTTTGTAACAAGGGAAGTGGGTTTAGTTAAATAAAACTACTCTAATAGCAACAACTACTCTATTGTGATAATAAAAACTTAAATCTGTCTTAGGATGATATATTTTCCTTCTTCGTATGTGTTTCTTCTATAGTCAATTCAGAAAAACAAAAGCTCCCGAAAACTGTTAGTTGTCTTGAAGTTCATAAAGAACAACTGTTGATGCAAGTTGAATTTTTTTCTCGAGTGTGAGGCCCAAATATCCTCACTGATATCGACGAGTAGTCAAATTATGAATTTTCTAATTAAATGAAATCTGAAACATAATTGATAGTTCCATTCCATGTAGTCTACCCAAACAAATGAAAATTTAATTTCTGAAAAATATAAATCTAGAAATAATTGGTTTACGTACGCCTTATTCTAAATTATCTTATGACCACCAAATTAGCACTGCTTAACTGATGTACAATTCTGTGTTCAGAAAAAAAAAAATTGATGTACAATTCATACGTAAGAAAAAAAAAATCATACGTACCTACTTTTTCTTATTCTGTAAATGTGTTCTTGTTATAATGTTTTATATATTCTCTTTGTCAAAAAATGTTTTATGCATTAAAATGCTAGTAATACTTTATACTGGAAAACAACATATACTCATTAACTTTTTGCCCTAAATGGCTCGAAACAGCCCAGCCTAAGCGAGGAATCTTGATTCTGGAACCGGAAAAAAAAGTAGATACAGAGAATGTGAAATCTAGGCACTGACTACCACTGATTTTTAAACCAGAGACGGAGAGAAGCTGAATCATCTCATAAATCAATTTTTTTCTTCTGAGATTTGCGTCTTTTGGAATCAAACAACAACAATCCATAACTACACTAGGAAAACAAGAAGATTTTTCTCGTGTAAGAGGAGTTCTTGATTTCCGTCGAGGTCTACACTACGAGAGAGTTCCTGTTTAGAGTACCATAAAGGTACGATTCTGTTTCCGTTTATTGATTTTAGGTTTTAATTCGTTTCCATTAGGGTTTGAGTTTTAGACGTGTAGATCTATTAGGTTCTTCTTCGGATTACGAGTTTAATTTCTATATGCAACTTTTTAGTACATATTCAAAGTTCTGAAATTGTTTTTTTTGCCTTTCAACTCTTATTACAACTGAAACACAATTGCTCGAATAGTTTACGGTGCTGCTCATTTCTTTTGAGTTTACTCTGAGAAAGACAATCTTGATTCATTTCCACATTTTTTCAAAAACCGTTGTTTCTGTGGCTTAGTAGTGATCTAGCTGAATCTTGGAAATTTAACTCAATTATATTAAATTGTTGAGAAGCTTCTTTGAAGTTTAAGACGGGAAATGAGTTTAACAGCCTTTTCTTGTGTGTTTATTTGGTCTAATTTTCACAGATCATGCTGATTCTTCTACGGTTCGTCCATCTTCTTACACTCATCGCATATGCTCATTCAGACTACTACATTGAGGTACTTTTTAGGCTTAATTTAGGTTTTAGCTTTTGCCTGAACAATCTTTAGGTTGTCATAATTCATACTGTTTGGATCATTTACGTTCTATTTCGTTAAGAAATAACGTATAGAATTATAATCGTATCGGATTTACCGCTATGTTACTGGATATGTGATGAAAAATAATTAATAATTGTCTACTTAAGTGTGTACACAATTTTTTTTGTCTACTTAAGTTTTCTTTTACATCTTTTGAACATATATTTTTGTACAGAGCTCAGATGGCGGTACTGTTAAATGCGTCGACAGAATGGAGCAACCAGCATTTGATAATAGTTTATTAAGAAATCACAAGTTTCAGGTTTGCTTGATTCGTTACTTCTAAAAAATTATTTCAGTTTATTTTTATCTAAATAATCAATTTACCATATTAAAAATAAAATAAATAACATTTTCAGTTTTTAAATTTTTATAGGAATCGCCGTCTAAAATTCCTACAACAACGACCAAATCAAATACAAAAAGCAAATGGCGAACGACAGAAGCGCATGTTAGTATTGCAGAATGCCCCAGAGGAACCGTACCCATACTGCAGGACGACGCGAGGGAAGACCCTGGCAACAACACATCAATACAGACTACACATGAGGTAAATAGTTAATCCATATTTTAGAAATTCACGAATTCTTTTGATCTGATTCAACAAAAAACAAATTGATTACAACTAGCGAATATTATAATATTTTATTAGAAAATTATACTATAATCGATAATGGTTTTAAATATATACTGTTATCATCTTTACTTGACTTAATATTTTGTTTATACTTACTAAATTTATATATAATCTTTTCGTGGCACTATCAGAATTCAGAACAGTTCCAAACATTTCTACTCTATTTACTTTGTTGGCCTGCGAACAATTCTTTATGCATTAAAATGCTAGTAATACTTCTTACAAACGTTACTCGGCCCTGGGCTTAAATATTTCTACTCTATTTACTTTGTTTGGCCTGCGAACAATTCATTTTTCCATGCGATCATTTAATAACGCTAATAAATGAACCCAACACTAATATTTGATATCTTAAAAATAAATAATCACTTTTGTAAGCATAATATTTTAATAAATATATAATATCCAACTTTTTTTTATCAACTGTATGATAATATAACATCAACTATAAGAGTTAATTTGAACAAATCAATTATATTTTCATAAACATAGTAAGACTTTAATTTTCCTTTTATAAATATAGTCAGTAAGAGTCAGAATATAATTTATATGTTTTTATGATCCCTGATGAATCAAAAATTTATTTTAAAAGAATTATTAAAACTGTTTTTTTGGTTTAAAATGATATACAGTATGCAGAGAAATCTACGGATGTCTCATCAAAATTATATGGAGCTAAAGCTACGATAAACATATGGGATCCAAAAGTAGAAAACAAAGAAAACGAGCTAAGTATCTCACAAATCTGGATCAGCTCAGGAGGATATGAGACGAACAATCTTAACACAATCGAAGTTGGATGGCAGGTTTGTATATAATTTTGGAATTATACAATATTTTAATATTTTAATAATTATTGTTTTAATTATATACATGTGATTAATATAATATATTCTTCTAATTACTCAACTATTAGGTGTATCCGCAGTTGTATACCGACAACAAGCCAAGACTGTTTATTTATTGGACGGTACGTATGATCTATTTTATCTTAATACCAAATTCAATGATTCATAAATTTAATCTATAATATACCGTTTATAATAAAGTCAATCAATTAAAGCAAAAAAAAAATCAAAATAATGTATAAACTTCTTTTGGTTTTTGAACTTAATTACCTTACTCTCTAATGACGGCTTTGAAATAGTTAGTTGAATTCTTAAAGGAAAAGCTTATATCTATTGGCTTACTGCTTACGGGATTACCAAAAAAAAATCTATAAGCTTACTGGTTCATATTGCGTTTCGATAAGACATTTATGTTGAAACAAGAAAGTTCAGAAAAGGGAATATATGAGTTTTGACGTTCTGGTGAACCTTCATTCAACGTTTACAATAACATGGTTTATGATATTTTCATGTTAATAACAATAGTGTATTCATTTTATAGAGTGACGCATATCAAACAACAGGATGCTATAACCTCAGGTGTCCCGGTTTCGTACAAACGAGCAGAAATATTGTACTGGGAGGTGCCATTAGTCCTGTTTCTGTCTTTGGAAGCAGACAATATGAAATTAGCGTGCACGTATGGAAGGTAAATTTTCAATATATATGGCTATATATATATATATTCATTTCATTTGTATGTTTTAATTAACAAACATAAATCAATAAATTATAGGATCAAAAACAAGGAAACTGGTGGCTGAGTTTAGGAGAAAATAATCTGATTATAGGATATTGGCCAGCAGAGCTTTTCACGAATCTAGATTACGCAACTGAAGTGCATTGGGGCGGTGAAGTAGTAGACTCTCGCAGCTTTGGTAGACACACGAGGACCCAAATGGGATCCGGTCGATTCCCTTTCGAAGGTTTCGGAAAAGCTAGCTATTTCCGGAATCTCGAGATTGTGGATAGTAACAATTTTCAGCCGATCCAAAAATTAAAGACAAACGCAGAAAAAAAATATTATGATACCAATAATTTAGATATAGATGAAGGATGGGGAACTCATTTTTTCTATGGAGGACCTGGATCCAGTACTCACACCCATTCTGGAGTCGTATCTCTGAGAATAAGGTTGATTTTTATTTGTTTTTGTTTTAATTTCTTTATTATTGTTTAGTTTCTTTTTTAAATTGTAGATTCGTCTTGTAATACATTTAATCTTAATTGATTTAGTCACTGTTAAAAACAGTACTATTTATCATTTTTCCTTTTAATATTACTAGGAAACCATTCCGTGCGGGAGAAATAATATTTAATTTTTATATTTTAAAGATCTATAATTTATATTAATTGATCAATTATTTCAAATCATTTAATAAACTAATTATTTTGTATTGAGACAAGATTCTAAACTGTTATAAGTTATGTTCAAACATAAGATTGACTCGTTGGTACCTGTGAATTCTATAACTCACAAGATTCATAAATGCATTATACAGGGAAATTGAAAGATGGTTGTTTTGTTTATCAATGGCCTAACTGCTACTAGATCGTAGAATTATAAGCCCATTATTTAGTTGTAAACTTAACATTATTGACAGAGATTTTACAACTTAAGCGAACAAAGTTAATTTACTGAGAAAATAATCTATATATAATAGCAAACTGATTTTTGATGATCTGTGATGTCATCATTTTATTATAGGAAAAAAAAATTGATTATTATATATAGATTATTTTGTCAGTAAATTAATTTTGTTCGCTTAAGTTGTAAAATCTCTGTCAATAATGTTAAGTTTACAACTAAATAATGGGCTTATGATTCTACGATCTATTAGCAGTTAGGCAATTGATAAACAAAACAACCATCTTTCAATTTCCCTGTAAAATGCATTTATGAATCTTGTGAGTTATAGAACTCACAGGTACCAACGAGTTGTTGGCCTAGTGGTAAAAGAGAGTTGTTGGTCTAGTGATAAAAGGATGTTTAGTAGGTATTCAGTCATTCATATTCAATTCTTGTTGGAATAAATTATTTACATTTTTGAGGTTTCTGGTTAAAAGGTGAAATATAATTACCAAAAAAAAAACCACAGGTGTATATATATTCATACAGAGACGATAGTTTTACTATTAACTTTTTCTTTAAACCGGATAAACCAGCCTGGATAACACCTCAAAACAAAGAGAAGGAAAAAACTTTGTTTGCATGAGAATAACTAGGAGACTACACCTGAGGATACCATCACAAAAGCCATTGTCATGGCTCGTGAATGGTTCTTAGCACAGGAACAGGCGATTCCACGCCAGAAGACTTCCTCCACTCCCCGTAACTGAAGGAGTCACAGTGGTCAAGGTCGATGCTGCGTGGCGTGGAGATACAAATACAGCTGGGTTCGGCTGGATAATCAACTCCACATCAGTCTGAGTCTTTTGAGACCTTTTCACGATCAGTAGGATCTCCCCTTAGTGCCGAAGGTCTGGCACTCTGGTCAGCTATCAGAAAATGTCAAGAAATGGGACTCCAAAAAGTCAAGTTCGAATCTGATTCTTCTCAACTAGTTGCAGTGCTGAACTCACAGGCGGTCCCCCCGGAGCTGTATGGAGTCATCGCGGATATTCACCATTGCTCTGCTTCCTTTTTTTGGATCCCCCGGTCCAAGAATGTTGATGCCGATGTGTTGGCTAAACATGCTTTGTTTTCTGGCAATTCTATGTTGAACTCTGTAGTACCTTAAGTTTGAAGTAATGAAATTTGTGTTACAAAAAAAAAAGCAACCGTGTTTGCACATATAGTAATTACAAGATTTTCTCTTAAATAAGAATGATCTATATTAAATTTGCAAATAAAGATAAAATAAGAATATGATCTGTTGACTATCACCCATTCTTATAAGTTATAATACAAGAGAAAAGTTACTGACGCAGAAGAGATATCTTTTTCAAAACAGAAGGAGCACCGATTAGGGCATGATTATCGGCGTCCTTACGAGCATATCTTAGAATTAATGACATTTTATTTAAATGAAAAACACGTTTTATTAACTGGGACGGCCTTAACTAAGATGTTTTCTTTGTCGTCCTTAGGGGACATGTGGCGCGCTGGGGAAGAAGACGGGAATCGTTGACGGGAAAATCAATTTGGGAACGAGGGTTTCATTTCTCTTGTCTTTTGTTCTTTCTCTTGCGGCGATTGCGAGGGCGAATCCAAACGATCCATCTCCCCTCTTCTACTCTCGACGGATATCCTCCCGAGGCTTCTCCTCTCGACGGTTCTCATTCCGAAGCTTCTCCTCTCGACGGATGACCTCTTGACGGTTCTGTCGACGGTTCTCCGCTCTCATCAACATCGTATTCTGCGATTCGAAGGTGAAAGGGTAGGTGTTCCTACTCTGTATTCGGGATTATACTTGATTGGGATTTTCATGTATTTTTTTCGTTTGTGTGTGTCAATTATATTTCTGTTATATTATCGAGTAGATTTAGGGATTTAGAAAATCTATTTTCGGCTTGATAGGCTTTGAGAGAGTGTGCTTATTTGATGATACTGATTATTGTAGTTATCGTGTAGTATTTGTGGTTCAGTTGATGAACCTGATATGTGTGTTCTTTTTGCTTTTGAGGTTACTAGGTGTGGTGTGGTTCATCTTTGAGAGGCAGGGATACACAAGTAGGAAACAACTCTTTGAAAAACAACCACTTCGTCCAGTGTTCAAGGTAATTAAATCTCTGGGCACAGTTCCCAAGTAATCTACTTCGTATGTGTGTAGACATGATAACATAATCTAGTTTGTATATTGACATTGAAGTCTCTAGTTTGATTGCAACCAAACCGTGTAGACTTGAACTATTGTTTTCGTAATTAACTATATAGGTTGATTGCAACCACATTGTGTAGACTTGAACTCTTGGTTGGATATTGAATTGATAGTCTAGTTTGCTAGGTAGTTAATGCACGGTTCAAGCAGAGGTGGTTATGGTTGTGTGATGCGTGATAAGTGATATGTACTTTGGTAGATATGTCATTATGGTTGAGTTCATTACACCTTTTTCCTATTAAACCAGCCTTGATAGAGTTCATTTTTTCTCCATCATCTTCCTTCTCTCTTCTATTCTCTTCTCCCATTCCGCTTTCTATTCTCCATCATATTCCTTCTCCATTCTTATTTCTATGGATCCAAGGGTTCCGTATAGCGAGTCCGCTGGGTATATGGGCCTTCTCCACAGTCAACACGGAAGTGTTGGCCATGAGAACTCTCCTTATGATAGTTTTCATTCTGGATCTCAACAATTCCCTCAATTCAGTTCACAACAAAGTGAGGTTCCAACTCCACCTTCAGCCACACCCGTGGAGCATGGGAAGAGACATAAATGGACCCCAGCTGAGGACGAGATGCTGATCAGTGCCTGGTTAAACACTTCTAAGGATGCTATAATCGGCAATAACCAAAAGTCAGGCACATTCTGGAATCGAGTGGGAGATTATTTCTTCGCAGCGCTGAGAGAGAGAGATGATGGAAATGGTGGTGACAATAGCGAGCTTGTCCATTACAAGCAGAGGTGGCACAAAATCAATGAGCAAACAAACAAGTTTTGTGGTGCATATGCGGCGGCAGAGCGACAAAATGGCAGTGGCCTGCATGAGAATGATGTTCTCAAGGTGGCCCATGATTTCTTCTACGCTGATAATCAGTCCAAATTTACACTTGAACATGCGTGGTGTGTGTTGAGGTATGAGCAGAAATGGCTTAACCTCAACACTAAAGGTTCAAAGAGGAAAACCACACAAACAGAATCCCAAACTTCAAACACAAGTGTTGCTCAAGAAGACGTTCGACCTGAAGGTGTAAAGGCTGCAAAAGCCAAACGGAGTAGTGGTTCGGGTAAGGGGAAGTCTGTTGAGGAGTATACCACGGTATGGCAACTGAGGAAGGAGGAAATGGAGAGGAAAGAAGTACTCTCAAAGCTTGCCATATTAGACACTCTCCTAGCCAAAACCCAACCACTCAGTGAGTCTGAAGAAAAAGCGAAAGACAAGCTCATCCTCGAGTATATCTAGAGTTCGAAGTGTCTTTATTTGCTAAGTTTGTATGTCTTAACTAGTTCCGTTTGTATGTCTTTATTTGCTAAGTTTGTATGTCTTAACTAGTTCCGTTTCTATGTCTTTCGTATGTTTTAAATGTACGCAGTATCTTAAGCAGTTTGGTTTGTATGTTTTAAATGTGAACGGTGTCTATGTTTTTAAAGCTACGGTCTCTTTGTTTACTTAAAATGAATGGACATCTTTATAAATTCATGCTCGTTGACTAATATGGCTATTAATTAAAATGAATGCAGTTTTCGGATTACACATTGGTCTTGATTACAGCTATAGCCAACCCTCACAGAGTGAGACGTTCGGTGGGGGTGATCGGGACAGTGACTACGACGAAGTAGAAGCTCTCATTCAGGAAGACCAAGCTCAGTTAGACTACGACAACGCTCAAGAGTTTATCTACCCTCCGCAGCCGGAGGTTGAATTCGGATTTCCACAGATATGCTACTGTGGGAGTGAACCGAAGATAGCTACGTCTTACTCTAGAATCGACCCAGGTCGCAGATACTACACATGTTCTAATGCTCATGATGGAGAGTGTCATGTGTGGAAGTGGTGGGATGACGCTGTAATGGAGGAGATGAGAGCCAGGGATATACACACACTTCAGTTAGCCGAGAAGGTAGATGCGCTGAACTTATTAAGTGAGTATGAGACTGAGCAGAAGGTTGCTAGACTTGAGAAGATGGTGTGCGAGTTGGCCAAGAATAAATCAAGGTCTGGCTTTGATTACATTGTTGCGGTTATGGTTATGGGATTAATTCTCATAGGTCTCGTACTCATCTTCATCTAATCTGTGCAATGTAATGGTTATGTGTAATTTGTATTTGTAGTCGAATTAGTAATGTTTCTGATATGTAATGACTAATGGGAACTTGTATTGCTGAGTATTCATGTTTTCAATAACATGTTACTCCCGTGATTGTTAAAGTAGCTGGAAATGTCACAGGATGTACTAATTGACTAGATGGCAAAATAAAGTAGCTGGAAATGTCACAGGATGTACTAATAAGTGGTCACAAGACAAACAGGGTAGTGTCACAAGATATCGACTTGTTTTCAGGATGTACTTATAAGTGGTCACAGGATGTACTTATAAGTGGTCACAAGACAA